GGAAGAGACCCGCTAAGCGAATGCTGCCGAGGTCCGCCATGCTGTACAGGGCATCGCGCTGGTCTTCCGCGATGGATGAAGTCCAGGCACTGGCCACGGAACGGGGGCCATGCCCTGTCGGCGCTCCTGCTCTGCGCGTTTCCCATCAGTCGGGTGATCAGGAGCTAACTTCTAACCTCTATCTACCTGCGAATGTCGTCCCTTTTTCGACAAGTCGAAAAAGGGACTCTCTAACCCATTCCTGAAATGGGCAATCGAATGCGTGGCGGAAATGGCCAGGCCAAGGTTAGCGGGTCACAGCTAGCCAGACAAGAATCATCAAAGGCCGACTTTCGCAAACGTGTCTGTCGCGTACACTGTCACTTTCTGTCTCCCGATGTTCGACTGACAGGCATGTATCCCCCCACACATCCATCTGGCATCCATTTATTCATGTAAATGTCCTCACAATATAAAATGTAGACAGCGATATGGACAAACAGATGGAGACATAAGGTTAGATCACTTGAGGCTTTCTGTGGGCGTTGTCGCGCCTACCTGCTGCTCCTGCTCGTGCTGCCGCTCGCTGTGGTTCAGAAGCTGCATCCAAGCTGTCGTGGGGTCACGATGGAACGAAAACAAAAACTTTCCCTCGAGATATAAAATGCAGACAGCGATATCGACTGCAGACAGACAGACAGACAAACAGACAGACAGACAGAGACACGAGAGGTATAGTCAGTCAGTCAGCACTTAGTTAATGTGGAGGTTGGTTCTCCAGGAGTGTGGGGTTGGGGGCAAACAGGACCTTGCAGCCCTCCTGAGAGGACCAGCTGATGGTGCGACCTAGGTCGCCGCGGCGCCAGCCTCTTGATGACCAGCTTGAGCTTTCGGCTCCTCCTTGTGCAGCCCCTCCTCGCTCTCCGGATGGATGTGGGTTGCCATGTACAGTACCTGACACCATACACACCCCCACACACGCAGATATTGATGTCCGCGCACCCACCCGGGCCGCGGAGACGTACCAGTCGATGAGTTGCTTCTGCGTCACGTTTCTGCCCGCTCCCTCCTCAGCGCCACAATACGCGGCCATTCGCAGCGCGATCGTGCGGAAGCCTGAAACCGTCATCCTGATCTGCATACAGACACGGGAGGGACAAATCGGAACACCACGTTTGTTTATCATCCATGCCATGCGTACGCACAGCGCACAGCTGTGATGACTGAGTGACTGACCGACCCTCTGGGGCCCTTGGTTGTAGCTATCAAACACTCGGCGACCCGTGCGGTGCAGCACCGAGTGCATCAGGGCCGTCGACTGACCACCCCGTCTGCATGTTCCCCGTGTGTGTGCTGATGCACTTTTGCGTTCTTCAGTGGCCAGCATAACTCGACGGGCTGACTTGAAGCGGTTTCTCACATACACTTACGTAAGAAACAGTGATGCCATGGTCTGTGTCATTCATTCCTGCACCCACGCCACACACGTACACGCGAACCACATCCATCCATCCATCCATCCATCCGATATAAAATGTAGACAGCGATATCTACAACGGACAAACAGATGGAGACATAAGATTGGATCACTTGAGGCTTTCATCGCGCCTTGTCGTGCCTGTCTGCTGCTCCTGCTCGTGCTGCCGCTCGCTGTGGTTCATAAGCTGCATCAAGCTGCCGTGGGGTCGCGATGGAACGAAAAGAAAGAAAGTCCCCTCGGGATATAAAAAGCAGACAGCGATATCGACTGCAGACAGACAGACGGATAGACAGACAGACAGGCAGACAGAGAGAGACACGAGAGGTATAGTCAGTCAGTCGGCATTGCAGCAGCGCTCTAGCAGTGTGGTTGGCAGAAAAAGGCATCTACACGTAGTTGGCATATGTGTGTGTGTACTGGACTGTACAATGATGAAAAACACATCGCCTGAATACATGATATTCATCCCTTCTACCTATTGCATACTCCCTCCCTCCCCTCCATGGCCCGGCCCCGCGTCTGTCTACTGCTGGCTGTGTGGTTGTTCAGCCGCGGCGGAGCCTCTTGTTGGCCTTGGCTTCGGCTTCGCGGGCCGCCTCGGAGAGGTGGGGGGGCTTCCTCTTGCCGAGCTGCTGGTCATACTTCCACCTGTCCAGCATCTGTCGCATCCGTCGCTGCTCGTCCTCCTTCTCGGCCTTGCTCCACGCCCTGAGGCGCTCCTCCTCCTCGCGGGCCTTCTTGGCGGCGGCGTGCTCTCGGGCGGCCCTCAGCTCGTTGAGCCCCTTCCTCCCGCCGTTCTTGTATGCCTCCTCCTCTTCGTCGCCCTGGAGGGACTCGTCGTCGGAGTCGGTGGAGAGGATGAGTTCGTCGTTGTTCTGGGCAGACACACATGCGGCACAGACAGACAGAAAGGGCATCATGTGTCTGTGCGGTGTGTCGTGTGTGTGTGCTCCCTCCCATCCATCCATCCTCCCTCCTCCCCTGCAGATCTATCTGTGTCAGATCTATCTGTATGCCCAGCAGACCTACCTCCCAGTGGTCGTCGTGGGCCTTCCGTGTGTTGGCCTCCTCGCCGCTCATGGCTGCGACTTTCTTGCTGTCCAACACGTGGTTCTGCCCAGATAGGTGGGGGGAAGCGGGCAGCCTGATCGATAGCCACCCTGAGGGAACAGAGTGGAGTGATCCACTGTAGGAGCCGAGCCAATAAGTGATCCACTTACTGGCGCGCGGCAATGGGTTTGACATAGCGTAGCTGAACATATAGAGACATCCGCAGTATACATACACGTCGCTCTTCGCACACAACAGTGACATACGCTCTCTCGGCCTGCACTCTTCGCTTTGTTTACACTCTTTGCTTGGCGTGGGTCCTAATGGTGTAAAGCATGCTCTTCATCCATGTCTCGAAAGCTCCGGGAGTGTAAATGATTGAATTGCAATCTGCCTGAAAAGCTGAACTCTGACACAAGAAAGGCGGCATTGCCGCGGCAATCGATCTAGGGAAGCGGCTGTTTGTACTGGTGTTGTGTCCTTTTGCTTACGCAGCTGGTCGAGTGGAGCGTTTTGATTCGGTAGGCTTGACAGGGAGAGGTCCTGGCCACTAGCAGCTATTCCCTTGATGTGATTAAATGCGGCCGATAGATATCTCTGCGCCGCGTCACACGTGTTGGCGAACTCAAACAGCTTCGGCATCTCATCAATGAGCTCCTCAATGTTGCGCACTAAGAGACATCCAACAAGGGAATCAATGCACGCCGTGCGCAGCACTTCGTCGCTCACCACACATGCGAACGGTCTCCGGACACGGGCCATAGAGTATCATCGCCAGCTTGCCTTCGATCTTCTTGATCTCGCCGACTGCACACAACGAAGACACAGGTGCGGATGGTGTCAAGCATGGATTGTCTCTTACGGATCATGCACTCGCACATTTTGATATACCCGTCTGAAGGAAATCAATATATGCATAAACAAACAATAAGCGTGGCTGCCTCTCACCAAGGCGCGTATGCAGCCGCGTGAGCAGCTCATGAGCTTGAGCAGGGTCAGGGGGGCCTAGCCGGAACTCGTCGTCCCACTGACGCATCTCGATGGGCAGAGAGCTTTACACAAGCAAACACACATACACACACGTTTGTCTGTCAATTTGTTTGTTTGTGTATGGAGCCAATAAGTGATCCATGAGGGTGCGCTGCTGGTGGTGTGGCGTCGGCGTGGGTGTGGGCAGAGCCCGGTTCTGCCAGCACTCCCAGAGGCAGACATGGATGTACGGCTTCAAACTCTCTTTTCTCTCGCTCACCGTGTGTGTGGTCTTGCTGCTGCTGCAGTGCCTCGGGCGATGATATCTCCATCCCTTGCGCAGCCAGATCGTCCTCCTCCGCAGCACGCAATCAGCAACTCCAATTGGCGAGTTCCAGTGGCCCATCGCCCGCTGCTGCTCCCACTTGCTGGATCTGGCGGCAGCGGTGTTGAACAGCACGAGTGCTCGAACATCCTCACACAGCGGCCGAACGAACACAGAAAAGAAGGACATATGGTGGATCCCATTTAAAAATAAGAAAAACTTTTCGCCGTCTCGGATTGCTGCCGTCTCAAATTCTCGCCGTCGAGCTTTCTGGGTGTTTGCCTCTTCCGTGGCGCAGGAGCAACAGCATGCTTGCCTGTTCGGTTTCTGTTCCCCGCAGTCAAATTTCCGCCACTTCTCACGCACACGTACACACCTCACGTGCAGCACAGACGTACATGATAAGTACAGAGAGGCATCCGTTCACTCCATGCACCCACGCCACACGCACGCAAAGCACATCAACCGAAACCCTCAGGCCTTACTCGTGGGCACACCGCCCTCCTCACCACCACCACCCTCCTGCTCATTGTCGTCATCATCCTGGCCGCCCGCATCGGGCGACACTTCAAGTGCCTCGTCATTCGCTGGCTGCTCCCTTGGCTGCCCATTGCATGATTCAGCAGGCTGCTCTTCCTCTGCTGCTGCTGCTGCCTTTGCTGCTGCTGCCTCTGTTGCCTGATGTTCGCCCTCCTCCCCTGTCTCCGGGTGGTTCGTCTGGGCTGGCTGGGTATGCGTGTCATCTGGTGGAGGGGGTGGAGGTGGGGGAGGTGGTTGTGCCACAGGGCTAGCGGGGCTGGGAACGGCTGCCAGCTCTTCTCGGAGCCTCTCGAGCTCTGATTGAGTGCAGCACCACATACACATAAGAGGGCAAGAAACGACGCACCAGTGGATGTGGGGAGGATGCGTGTGTTGTGAGGCCTGTGTGGCCACGCTGACCTGTTTTGATGTCGCTGATCTGTTCGTCGATCTCAGCGGCCGCGTCGAAATCCTCACCGGCCACGGCCTCTTCCAGGCGCCCCTCGTGCTCAGCGACCGACCTCTCACGCTCAGCGATGGCCGCCTCAATCTCGCCCCTGCGCCGCTTCACCTCATCCCAATCAACCACTGCACCACCTTCGGCATCGGTCTTCTCACCCTCCTCGCCTGCTGCTGCTGCTGCTGCTGGTGCTTCTGCTGGTGATGGTGCTGGCGGTGCAGGCTGCTGCTGCTCCTTTGACTCTTTCCCTTCCTCTGCTTCTCCCTCCTTGTCTTTTTCTTCAGTATCGGCCTCTTCTGCATGAGTCTCCTCCATGAGAACGTCCACACGGCTGCCCCCGTGCTGAGGCGAGTGCGATGAGGGCGATGGCGTCCTGTCGTGCTCACTCGGCGTCCCCTCGTCGGTCATGTTGTACTTCTCGGCCAGCAGCCGGATGGTGGTGCGACAGACGTCCACCTCTGCCTCCAACGTCTGTTTCTCCAGCGGGTCGGGTGATGTCCGGATGAGTGACAGGAGGCCGCTCCAGCGCTTCTTGGTGACCTCGATCTCCAGCCGGTCGGCGCGCTCCTCTGCCTCAGCCAATTCAGACTGTGCACGCTCCTCGCGCTCGCGACACGAACGCAGGTGCTGAAAGGATGAAAGGAAAACAGGAGGCACAGAGGGAGGGAGGGAGGGAGGGGTCGTGTCATGTGTGTGAGAGGGATGAGGGTGTGTGTCGTTGCTCTCGTCTCACTGCGTACCTCTCTGAGGCTTTCGATGTCGTCTCCCAGACCGGCCAGCTCTGTCTGAATCCGCTGCTGCTCCTCCTCCAGAGACTGGACACACACAGACACACACAATGAATGAGCCGACGGGCACTCGGTCTCTGGTTGGTGTAGCGCTGACCTTGATTTCGTTGGTGATGCGGCCCGCCTCCTTGAACGCCCGCTGAGACACCGCCACCTTCTTCTCAGCATCCAGGATCGGCAGACGCGCAGTAATCGTGCTCAGCTGACTCCTGCACCCGGTGCACACACACATGAATGTACACACATACGCACCACGCGACACTGCAATTCGCACCTGAGGTTGGTGGAGAGTGCCTCCTGTTTGCTGAGTGCTGCGGCGAGTTTCTGCGCCTCCGCGGTGGACTGCTCGACCTTTGATCGGACGGCGGCCAGCTCCATCTGGTGCTTGGCGCCCTGGCTCAGCCACCGCCGCCGGTGCTGCAGGTGGGTCGACAGATGGGAGGCACGCTTGCACATCGACAGGCCCTCTGAGCGGAGCCGCTCGAGATCTGACTCAAGCCTGCACACACATACATGGGGCAGGGGGGATGGGTGTGTCACGCCATCATGCTCTCTACCTTACCTTTGTAGGTTTTTCTTGGACATGGCCCGGTCGTTCTCGAGAGCGGCCTTCTGGTGCTCCAGCTGCAGACAGAAACCACCACACACATCCACCACCCACAGATCCGACGCACATCGACAGGTGTGTTTGTTGGTTGCCGCAGTGACCAACCGGCCGACCGACCTGCGCCTCGTCGGCCTTGAGGTCCTCCTTAGCCTCGAGTATCCTCCGCTCGTTGTCCTGTATGCGGTGGAGCTGCTTCTCAAACTTGGAGCGGATGGCGTGGATACGGATGTCGCACGCCTCTATCACCTCGCCCAGCTGCTTCTGATGCGCACGCTTCTCGGCCAACTGACGCTCCAACTCGATGATCTCCGCATCGACCGTCCTGCAGACAGAGCAGCCAGGGGGTTTTTGTGAGTGTGTGTGTGTGTGTGTTGTTGTTGTTGTCACGTGTGGTGTGTGTGTGTGTGTCGGGGCACCTCTTCTGTTCAGCTGCGTCATCTCTCTCTTTCCGGTGGTCGCCCGTCTGGGAGTCGATGGCCGCCTCCACCTGATCACACACACGGAGAAGGGACGGTTGTGCGTTTCTTGTCCTGGCCTTTCCATGCCGCAACTTGGCACCTGTGCGATTTCCTCCTGGCTGTGTGTGTGGTCCCGCTCGATGTGCCCCCTGGCCATTGCGATCCGCTGCTCCTCAACCTGGATGCGGTGCGCCTCGCCAGCCAAACGCTCCTCATCACGCCCACCCTGGGTCGACAGATCAGCCTCCTCCTGAACCAACAGCTCCTTCAGACGGGACTGGGCACGCTCTGTCAGCTGTGGGCAAAGGCAGAGAGGGAGGGAGGGAGGGAAAGATTGGAATGGTTGTGCTCTTATGTGGTTTCGTGCGCCGGTCGCTCACCTTGAGTTGTGCCTCGGTGATCTCGAGCAGCTGTGAGGCGATGCGTTGCTGCGCCTCGGATGCGCTCGCCATCGAATCAAGCTTGGCAGCAACCTGGGGGAACAGCAGACAGACAGGGGTGTGTGTGTGTGTACGTGTGTCTGGTTGTCGATGTCCGTCCTACCTTTGCTTTGATGTCGATGATTTTGGCGTCAAGTTTCTCGGCCTCCTCGAACTGCTCCTCCTCCACCAGTCTGTTCTGCTCCACCTCGGTCTGACCCACCTGCTCCTTCAGAGTCGCTATCTCCTGCACATACGCACAGCCATCCATCCACACACTGACACATTGACACACAGACAGACGGACGGTACCTAGGTACCTACCTGTGTGAGTGTGTGGTTCCTCATGGCCTGCTGTTGCTGCTGCTGGATGAGGTCCTGGTGCGCCTTGAGGCTCCTGGCCGTCCGGGCCTGCATCCAGTACTGCACACCCGCCAGAGTCGCCTCCTGCTCTACCTCCCTCGCCCTTCCACCACCACCACCACCCCAAGAGCCACTCTCCGTCCCTACACACACGTACACACATGTCACTGATTGATGCACTCCCTCGCTCATCAACAAGGGTGTCTGTGGCGTGGGGTACCCTCTTCTCTGGGCAGTGGGCTGGCAGTGGGGGATGACGTGCGAGACGTGATAGAGGGAGGGGGTGGTGGTGGCGGGGGCGGTGGGGTGGGCGGTGGCTCCGACTGCTGTGAGGTGCTCTCGGAAGGGGGCACCACGGCAGGCTTCACTGCGGTCGGTTTCACCTGCTGCTGCTGCTGCTGCTCTGGCGGAACAGCGGCGCTCAGAGAGGGAGAGCTCATGGGAGACGGATGCTGAAACACAAAACCCAACACCAACAGAGCATCATCAATACCACCCCAGACGGTCTCACCTGTGGTGGTTGTGGCCGGCTGTGTGTGAAGGTGAGGGGCGTCACGGACATGGACGCCACTCTGGGAGGGGGAGGGGGCGGGGGCCTTCCACCAGCACCCCCTCCCTGGTCGCCCCTGTCGTCACTCTTGACGCTGCTCGTGTCGAGAGTGTGTGTTGAGGCTGCTGACGGTGGTGGCTCCGGGTGCAGCTGGGGCGATGTGGATGGCAGGGAGGGTGGCTGTGACGATGGCAGTGATGGCGGCAGCGAGGGGGGCTGGGAGTGAGGGGCGCGCGCCGCATAGCCAGGCAGGTTCGCACGGCGCGTCTTCTTCCGCCTCTGCAGGGGTCCGTCCAGTACACACAGGGAGATGGACGGACACCACACTCATGTCAAAGCCTACTAGTGTGGGGCCCACCCCATACTTCACTCTCCCTCCCTCACCGTATCTGTGGCGTGTGGATGCGTCTGAGGGATCACCCCGTCAGCCGCTGGCGTGGGGCGCGCAGCGATGGTGGCTGCCGTGGCGAAGGAGAAAGGGGATGGACGCTCATCGCCCCTCGAATCACTCGCCGAAGCAGAAACAGCAGCGGGAGCAGGAGGAGGGTGATCTGACCACACACAAACACACACACGCACCATCCGTCTGACGATAGATATCCATGAGACCTAATTATTCATCATTCTCTCACCCTGGCCAGCGCCTTCCGCCTCCCCGTCTGCAGGAGTGTCTGTCCGCCCGTTGGCCTCACTGCCGCCCGCCCCCGACAGAAACGAGAAGGCAGACGATATCAGCGACTGTCGCCCAACCGTCTTGTCCTTCTCTGGCGCGGGTGTGGGTGGCGGCGGCTGCTCGGCTGCCGTGGGAGCCACGAAGGAGAATGCAGAGGAGCTGCTGGGCGGGGCCGCATCTGCTGCAGATGAGATGAATGGTATCAGGCAAGAACTCGTTCGTCGTGTGGACGAATGTGTGTGTGTGTGTGTGTGTTTGCTGGTTGTTTCCTGTCAGTCAGTCACCTGTTGGCTTCTTGTGTGAGAGTGACAGTCCTGAGAAGAGGAAACCGGCAGCTGAGCCGCCGCTGCTCTCGGCCGGAGATGCCTCTGGAAACCACAATATCATGACAACACAGCGCACCTTGTGGAGTGAGTGGTGATCTCCCTGCGTGTGTGTGCCGGGACACTCCGCTGCCTCACCTGGCGTCGCAGATTCGCTCGTGTTGTCAGCGCTTGGATCTTGCATCGATCTTTCGTCAAAATCAAGCTAGAGCTGCCGTCGCCGTGAGTGAACACTCACCAACTATCAAAATCGCAAGAGGAGCGGCAGCTTTCGCGCCAGCCCTGCGAGCTTTGTAAGCCCTAACCCCTTGAACCCTGCTCTGTCTTGGTCCCCTTGTTTCAGGGGGGGGAAACTGTCATTAACCGTAACACTCGTCTGTGTGTCCGTGATACTCATACAAATACAGTCCCATCAGCACGCAGACTCAAACAGGCTCAAGGGGAGGAGGGATCAATCCCCTTGTTTCTGCTTCTCTTCTCGGCACAGCTGTCTGGGTATCCTTGTTGTCTCGTCTGAAGCAGAAAAATGCCCTGCCTTGGCGCGACTGGCACAGCGGCGGGTGTGGAAGAGGCGAGCAGGCCAAGGGAGGAGTACAGGACCTACGAGTTGGTGCAGGGAGACGCCACGAGCGAGAGGGTCTACAACCACTACAGGTCAGTGAGATGAGCAAAGGTCACTGATGAGTCTCTGCGCACCTATGTTGTGACTGTCTGTCTGTGTCTGTCTGTCTGTGTGGGTCAGGGAGCAGCACGAGAAGATGACGTTGGATTACGTGCGTCGGAAGAAGGCCGAGTACGGTTGCCTTGATGGATTGGGGAGCTACCAGCCCAAGGCCGAGTGGACCATCCCGGAAATCATCCAAAGACTCGACTTCTTTGACCCCTCTGACCCTGGTCGGTGCGCTGGTTTGTCACTCGCACAATCGCGACAATCACAGCGCCGACGGGCCAACATGAGCAGGGTTGACAAGTGGTCGTTGTTGCGTGCAGACTTCGAGGACAACAATTTGTTCCACTGCTACCAGGTGAGGGAGGAGGAGACCAATCCGGTCATTCTCACGACGTGCCCTTGCATGGCTTGTGTATGTGTGTGTGTGTGTGTGTGTGTGTGACTCATGGATCAGACAGCGGAGCGCGCTCGTGCCCGCTACCCCGAGGAGCGCTGGCTGCACTTTGCCGCTCTGGTCCATGACCTCGGCAAGATCCTCTTCATCTGGGGGGAACCCGCTTGGGCCGTGTGCGGCGACACCTACCCTGTAAGCTCACCACACCACACCCTTCCTTCACTTGGGGTGGGTAGGTATGCTCTCGTGTGCAGCCAGCTAGCTCGGTGTGTGTGTGTGTGACTGACACACAGGTTGGTTGCCGGTTCCAGCGGGAGAAGATAGTCTTCCCCGAGACGTTTGATGGCAACCCTGACGAGATGGATGCGGTCTTGTCGAGCCCCCTTGGCATCTACCAGCCGGGGTGCGGACTCATGAACCTTCACATGGCATGGGGGTGAGCGTAGCGTGCAGCACACACACACACGCACACACATTGACACGCATTGACACACACGACATCCTCCTTGTTCTGCGTCTGGATGACTTCTCCTGGTCTCTCAGGCACGATGAGCTGTTCTACTGGGTGAGCAAGAACACACGCACTGAGAGGATGGCAAAACGAACGAACACGTGTGTGCGTGTGTGCCCAGGCTCTGAAGCGTGCCGATGAAGAGCACCATCTCCAGCTGGACCCCCGCATCCCGTACATTGTGCGGTTCCACTCCTTCTACCCGTGGCACAGCGGCGGCGCCTACATGGAGTTCGAAGACGACCTCGACAGACAGATGCTGCCCTGGATCAAGAAAGTCAGTCACCACACAAAGCACAACGCGCCTTCATTGATGGAATGTGCGTGTGTGGTTCAGTTCCAGGAGCTAGACCTGTACTCGAAGGACGGTGCCGAGAGCGCCCTGCCGGACATTGAGAAGCTCAACAAGGAGTACTACGACCAACTCATTGGCGAGTTTTCGCACAACGTCAAACTGAAGCTCTGATGCGGTGAAGTAGGTCAGAGGGGAGGGAGAGGAGGGAGGGAGGGAGGGAGGGAGTGATGTCGACATGCACTGACTGAGCAGCAATGGGTAGGCGGGTCAGCCCCCTTGCTGCAGTGCATGCTATGCTACGCTATGGTGCTTCTCCGTTTCTCCCGTTGGTTGCTTCATTAGCTATTTGTTGGTGCCGTGCCTTGCCGTGCCGGTGTAGCTGCCAGACGTGATGGTGATATGACGTAACATGCTCATTTGTTGTTGTCTCCCTGACCACTACTGTGGTCGCACTCGCTTCATACACACACACATACTATCAGGACACCTGGCTGCCTACTTGCCGGTCGAGCGGTGGCGTGCTGGTCTGTGAGTGAGTGAGAATGATGTGATGGCTGGGTAGCTGTCGCACGGGCGATGTCCAAATGCTGTCTGTGAGGCAGGCCTACATGGGTGGTTATTGGGTGGTGGTGGTGCGTCTCTGTCCCTCTCTCCCATCTCTCTTCTGTCACTTGTCCCCACAGGAAAAAGAGGGTCGTGAGAGAGTTTGACTAGTTAGTGCTGCCATGCCCAAGACAAACAGACCCGTGCATGACGATGCCAATCGGTTCATGACAACTACACTCACACAGTCAATCTGCCATTCCTAGCCAGCCACTTGCCCGCCCCCCTCCCCCGACAAAAAGACTCAACAGTGTGTGTTGCATCGTATCCTCAGCGAGCCACAGGGCAGCCGCAGTTAACCAGCGCATGCACACGTAGGTACATGTAAGTACCAAAACGCCCTCATGCACGTCACGTGTGCAATGCACTGCACGCATGGGACTTAACCACACTGATAAAGCTCTTGTCGCTAACCATACCGATAAAGCTCTTGTCGTTCTCTCGCACAGGAAGGCACTCAGACGATGGATGACGATGACACACAAGACGACAAGAGACGACAAGATGCAACACATCCGATGAATGCAAGGCATGAAGTCCATTGCACATCAAGGCCGTGGGGACGAAGTTCCGTCAACACCTGTCTGCAGACCATTGCAGACCGTCATCCACCCAACGGAGAGGACCCAGTGGGCTCCCGTCTCGAATCCAAGTAGGGCTGTCTGCAACTGAAGTACAACACACACACACAAACGGACACACACTTGACTTGACTTGACCGTAGGAAGAATTATCTGGTGGGCTCCGACATTAACTGCGTACTTACGTGTGTTCTGGGCAGATTTTGTCTTCCGTCGGCATGGGGGCCATCCACTTATCAAAACACTCCCCACACACAACCTGCATTCACCGCACCAACAGACCAATCCATACCAGCCAACACACACACACACACATCATGTGACACACAATTAAAGGCCGGCCGCTGAACTGAAGGCGTCTGTGCTGTCGATCAACATGCGTCTCACTTTGTGTCGGCAGGGAAGCAGGATGACGTTTGGCTCATTTAGCAGACACACACAGCACTTGACCTCCTTCGTCTCAATGACACCGCCGATGGATGCAGCAGCAGCAGCAGTAGCAGCAGTAGCGGCGGCCGACGGGCCGGCAGGCGGCTGAGCATGAGACGATGCACTGGAGGCACCCACGGCAGCGGGCGCATGGCGGACAGGTGGTGCCGTGGGAGGCTGGAGGGGAGGGGTCAGTGGGACGGGCGGCTCGTGGTGGCGGAATGATGAAGACGATGACGGACGGCTGGGTGCTGACGCTGGACCGGGGAACGACCATCTGACCACACACAGCCGCATACACATATACATACAGGCAGGCATGCAAGACAGACAGACAGACAAATGAAAGGGCCGATAGGTGCAGTGCATGACAGGTGACCTTTCCTTCTGCCGCCCGGGCCAGCTGGCTTTTCTTACTGGTCTTGGAGAGGCGATGCCACCTGGTCTGTTTGGGCCGCCTTGCCTCTCCTCTTTCGGCCGACGCGCATGAATGGGCCCGCATCATCACTCGACCCTTGCTGCTGTTGTGGCACAGTGCTGCGATCCATTGGCGGCACCGACGGCTCATTGGACGACACAGAGGAAGGTGGACATGCGCCTAAGGGGGGGCGCTGGGGAGAGGGGGATGCTGGGCGGGGGAGAGAGTCATGGCCATCTTGGACCTTGTCGGCATGGCCAACACTGCCAGCCCAGCCAACAGACAAAGCAACAAACAAAGCACCATCACTGCATGTGTAAGTAGTCGGCTGGATACTAGAGAATACACACCTACCTGGGCAGGTTCTTGTCGGCAGCTTTGCTGCGCTTCTTGGCTTTGGATTTCTTGCTGCTCTTGGAGCTGCTGGGCGTCTCTTTGTTGCCCTCATTGATGTCGAATTCGGCCAACTCCGCTGCCAGCTGTGCATCGGCCCGCTCGTTGGCCGCCCTCTCTATCTCGGCAAAGAAATCCAGCAACTGCAACGTATTATTCACACCACGCATGGCATGCCAATATGTCTAGGTGTGCCGTGCCCATGTGGCATGAATAGCTCAGCTCCCTCCCTCACCGACCTTACCTTCTTGGAGGCATCGAGTTGAGTCTGCTGGTGCCCCTTTCTCCTGGCCGGCTGCCCGGCAGCCCGCAGCGCCTTGACCGCCTCGTTCTGCAATATCGCTCGGGTGACGGTATTGGCCCGCAAAGTGCCGCGCTTGTTGGTGCTCACTCTGTCGCCATACCTGCAGGCAGGTGCAGAAAGGAGGACGCGTCACGTCACCTGTGCTAGGCGCACATGGATGGATGCGTTGCAGGCACACTTACGCGACGAGTGCGCGGAGAGTGGCGATGGTGAAGTCGACAAACTGTGCGCACATGTCATCGGACAGGCGCTTGGGACACATGGCGACCATCTCACAGAGAGAGGCGGGGAGGCCTTCACGCACAGCAATCTGACACACAGGCAGAGACACGGACAAAGAGAGAGACAAGAGGATCACTGCACTGCGTGTTGCCGGCGACAGCTCACTGCGCTCTCTCGCCTAGCTACCTTAGCGCGGGCATCCGTCATGTCGCCAGACTCGGTGCCAACCATGTTTAGGAAATGGGTCGTCCAGTAGCGCACGTCATCCTCTGGTGAGTGTGGCAGCCTGGCCCTGTGCTCGCTGATGCCCCGCATCAGGGAAATGCAACCCGAGCTGTACACCTCATCTCTGTACCCACACCCTGCAAGCCAAGCCAAGCCAAGCCAAGCGCATGCAATGGAACACACAACACGCAATCAGTCTGGACAGCCACTGGGGTGTCGTGCACGTGTCGCTGTGTATGTGAGCAAGCCCTTACTTGCGACGAGTGAAGGGATGACGAGTGCCAAGAGCCCGTCCCCGCCTTTTCTCATGTGCTGGGTGAACGCCTCGAGAGATCCGGGCGAGCGCATCAGACGCTGGACAGGTCCGTTGGGCATATTTGCAAAGTAGGGATAACCTGCATTGCATACGCACAGCCAGCACCGACATGCAGCCAGCGATCCGTTCACCGATCGGTGTCATGTGTCGTATGCATGATGTCGATTAATGGCGGTAGGGAGCATTGCACTCACTCACGAACAAGACCCCGACAAAATCGTAGCAGCAGCGGAAGATGAACTCGAGGCAGAGGGCGGCACTGCTGCGCAGCTCCTGCCGAGCATCGGGCGACGTCAGGATAGTGGCCAGTGTGTCGATGTGGGGGTAGACTTGGTGGTACAGGACATCGAGGCACTCAAACTTGTCTTTGTCCGACCCTGACCGAGTCATGACCACAGAATCACACCACACCACACCACAGGCACATGCAAACGGACTGACACACGAACCCCTCTCCCTCTCTCCCTCCCTCCCTCCCTCCCTCCCTGTCGGCCTGTCTGTCTGCCTGTCTGTCGTAACTCACCTTTGCTTCGCACCCAGTCTGTGGTGGTAGAGAGGAGCGAAACAATAGAGGTCGAGGGGGTCCCCAGTAGGCTCCCCAATATGCTGCACAAAAAAGGCATCACACAGACAGACATACACCCTCCCTGATGCATACGAACGGCCGCTTACTGTTGTTGCTCGTGGGCCGTTCGATGCCGGGTCATGACCTGGACCAGCAGTTTCCACAGGCCGCCCCAGAGGAACATCGGCATCCCAGTGGGCGGCAAGGGCTGGCCATATTCCTCGCCTATGCTGTACATGTTGTTGAGCAGCACCATCGTCAATCCGAATGCAACGTTGTCACCCACGTGCCGCTCCGCCCACGACAGAGCCCTTCTCAGCGCCCCTGGGTGGCGCTGCACGAGGTAGTCGCGGGACTCGGCTCCATCGCCGCGTTGCCTGCCTTCGCCCATGGCCTCCGCGAGCAGCATCAAGGTGAACGACTCCATGTGCTCCTCCATGCTGTCGGCTTCTGCGAAGACGCGCGACAGGGACGCAATGAGGTCACGGGGCGACCCCGATACCGAGATGAGTTTGCGGGCGAGGCGGTGGGTGCCGGACTCGTCGCCCAGCCGCCAAATGGTCAGGAGCAGATCCGCCGCCCTCTCCTGCCGCCAGCTGTCGCTGACATCCGTGAAGACCGACAGCACACGCCGAAGCAGGTTGTCATTGTGGAGCGATTGAAGGGCTTCTGCTTGCAGCTTCCGCTTGCAATTAGCGCAATGCTGTTGGTGTTGGAGACGATTGGCTCTCTCGAGGTAGTGCTCGGCGAGGATGATCATGTTCAAGTCCGTCTGTTCTCGTGAGAGGGGTGCCGACGAGGAGAGGTCATCAATCGCCGACCGGACGGAGAAATGGACCTGGAGAGGGGAGCAGCTCTTACCACACTCACTCCTCGTCGTCATTCTCAGAAGCCTTTCCACCAAGGGCTGACTCGTTTCGTCAACGTCGTAGCTTGCCGTCCGGCGTCATGCGCGACGGGGAAAAAAGAGCACCATTTGCGAGCTCGAGGGAGGGATCGTTTGACGGGGAGGGAGGGAAGAGGAAGCCTGATCTGGCCATGACATCCAAGCGGGCATTGTCGCAGCCATCTGGTTCGGCATCATCATTGCAGAAGGCCCGGCGCGTAGAGGGCGGCAGTTCCGCCGCAGCCGTACTGCACTTCGGCTCATCGCAACTGCGTATCGGGACCAGCGGATACAATGCTGATCACTGGGTCGGCTCGTACTACCATGCCGTCCTGGAGAAGGGATCCAAGCAGCAGTTTCAGAAGTACACAGACAGATCCACGCGCACATCACATGCATGTCTGCGTGTCACCCGTGTGTGTGTGCGCGGTGCGTAGGTATTCTTCCGAGTTCGATTGCGTGGAGATCAACGCCACCTTCTACAATCTCCCAGTCGACAAGACGTGGCGCGGCTGGAAGGTAACCTCACAGCGCAGCGGCTGCCATGATTCCTTCGTTCGGTGTGAGGGTCCTTCCTTGCCTGATGCACTCACTGCACCTGCATCTCAGGCGCAAGCTCCTCGGGCGTCCTTCACGTATGTCATCAAGGCCAACCAGTACTTCACGCACACCAAGAAGCTGATTGTGGACGACAACTTCAAGAAGCGGTGGGGGATCTTCTGGGACCGCTGTCAGCTGCTGGGAGAGCACCTGGGGCCCATCCTCTTCCAGCTCCCGCCCACATTCAAGTGCAACGCCCAGCGACTAGCTAACCTCTCCACCGTGCTGCCCAAAGACGGTACGCGAGCAGGCACCTGACACACACAGACAGTGACCGGTCTGTCTCTCTCTCTCTCTGTGTGTGTGTGTGTTGGGTGTGTGGTGTGCAGGTCGTTTCGTGTTTGAGTTCCGCCACCCGTCGTGGTTTTGCGAGGAGGTGTACCGCGTGCTGCGGGCCCACGACTGGTGCCTGTGTCACATCCACCTCGTCAACTGCATCAACTCCCTGGACGACAAAAAGAGCAAACAGAAGTGGGCTGGCCATATGCAGGACGGTGAGATGTCATGTCATCTGGCGCATCGCATCGACCGATCAGAATGTGCGTGTGGTGTTTATTGCAAAACTGTCCCCCTCCCCCTTCAGGTTGGCACCGGCCGCTTGATGCCGACTCGTGCTGCTCCTGGGGCGTGTACATCTGGCTCCACGGGACGCTGGGGATGTACCTCGGCTGCTACCCTTCGAGCGACCTGCAGGCGGTGGCGAATCGTATGCGGGCCTTCACGAAGGGGCCCGAGAACCGACATCGCACGACCTACTACATGCTCAACAACACTGACGGGGGGCTGCACACGGCTGACGGGGGCTGCGTGCAGGAGCCCTCTGCGGTCGTCGACGCGCGAGCCGTCGACGACCTGTTGGCAGGGCGGCAACCCTCCTTTGGGTTGCACCCCCAACAGACCTTCATGCCCGGTGAGTCAGAACCTCGCCACAACACGGCCACAGATGCGATGCGTGCCTTGCCTTGACCGATCCTGATGCCCACTCCCTTGTGTGTGTGTGTGTGTGTGCTGTGTGTTCAGGTGAGGACCTTGAGCTCGCTGAGGCGATTCGCCTGTCGCTGCAGGCAACACACCAACAGGTACACAGGACGGTCTGTCTGTCTGTCTGTGTGTCCGTTGCTCACGTCAATTCTGCGTGTGTGTCAGGCGCCTGACATAGGTGAGTGCCGCCCTGCCTTGTCTGTCTGATAACTCACTCAGTGTTGCCGACGTGTGTGTGTACGCGGATGTGTGTACGCAGCTGAGGAGAAGGAGGACCCTGATCTCGCGAAGGCGCTGCGTTTGTCGCTGCAGGAGACACATGAGCAGGTAAGGTACCCAGCGCGCGTGTCACACGTACACACATACACATGTCTGTGTGTCTGTCTGTCGTGCGTGTGTATGCCAATGATTGCACTGCATGCGTTGGATGGGATGGCATCCCATGCAGGCTCTTCCCCCTCCCCCCGACGAGCCCGCGTCTGGCGACCCCACCTGTAGTCTGCAGGTAGGAGGGAGGGAGGCCCAGCCAGCACTTGCCACACCACAATATATGTATGGTATCTTCACTCTATGTATGCTGTCAGGTCCGTCTGCCTTGGGGCGCCCGCATCACTCGCAAGTTCGCGCCGTCACACACCATCAAGGTACGCTCGTAATTGTCGACGGGATGTTGCACACCACACAGACAGACAAATTCATTCCCTCCCTTTCGATCCATCGATGTGCGTGTGCGGGTGTGTCTTGTCGTGTGTTCGGTGACTGGCTGACAGGACGTGTTCCATTGGGTGGAGTGGGAGCAGCTGGGCGGCATCGATCCCAAACTCAGCCAGAGGGACAGATGGTCACTTGTTGCGTTTCCCAGGTCAGCCCACACAGAGGGCGCTGAATAGAGACAGAGAGGGAGAGAGAGTGGACAGACTCATTCTTTCTGCAGGAAGAGATATGCAAGCGAGAAGGGTCGCCGGATTTTCGCGTACGAAGGCGCCGAGGTGAGCGGCGGCTGACAGCAGCACATCAGCCAGCCAACGTTTGTGTGCCTGATAGATGTGGAGTGTGGTGTGGTGTGGTGTGTGTGCGCGCAGGACCTCGTGTCTGACGTGTCGGATTCCACGCTGCAGTCGCTGGGTTTCCAGACGCAGGAGACTCTCAACCTGCAACCATGATTGATCAAGCTGCCTTCCTGCCTGCCTGGCTACGTGTGTGCGGACTACCACTGTGTGTCTGTGTGTGTATATATGTTTCTCCAACAGACAGACAGACAGACAGACATCGATGTGATGGGCATGCGGAGAGTGCGTGTCATTAACCAGCCTGTGGTGGATGGGGGGAGATGGATGTCCGATCTTGAGAGAGCATGGAAGCTTCAACTAACGGACGGCACCAGGCACCACACCCCTTCCATCCATCCATCCATGCATTCACGTAAGCACACACACACCCACAGCCACATGTACCCTCCCCTTTCAGTCGTTGGTGTTGGATGCTACATCAGCCCACGATCCGTCAGTCAGTCAGTCGTTCGCTCACTCACTCATTCCCCCATCCACTCGGTCAGTCACAGTCTGGTCTCCCTGCCCTTAGCTTTTGCCCCTCTGCCCAGCCCAACCCCATCCTGCAGAGACGCCCTCGCCGCCCCCTGCTTCTGACGCTCACGCTGACCCTCCCGCAGATAGCCCGTCGACCGCTTGGCCGGCGGACCGGGCCCACGCCCCACGCTGGGGGGGGCCACTGGGGACTGTTGCTGCTGCTGCTGCTGCTCGTCGTCAGATTCACGCAGAGAGGGGGGTGACGGGAGACATATGTCCATCCCACTGCTGCTGCTGCTGGTGTTGTTGGTGTTGTTGTGGTGGTCTTCTTGCCCGGGGCCCCCACCTCCACCTCGCCCCCCTCCCCCGGCAGTGTCAGGGCTGATATCATCGCTCTTGCGTTTGTTGGACGACGGGTGCTCGATCATCGAGGCCAATGGGCGTCTCTGCGGCGTCAGCTGGTGCTCCCTCCGTGCTTTGCGATTGGCCCTGCCCCTGGCCACCCCACTGACGCGAGGCGGTGCCACAGACTGCCGCGGGTGGCCCCGGCCCCCCATTATCTTGCCCATGAGTCCCCCCGCTCCGGTCTTCCTCTTTTTGCTGTTGATGGACAGGCGGCGCATGCCCTTGGCTGGTATGCTCTCCTCGTCGCTGGTCTCCTGCGACCGGGGCTGCTGCTGCTGCTGCTGGCGGTGGGGATGGGGGTGTTGGTCGCCACTCTGGTCAGGGGGTGGCATGGCAGTGTTGGTGTTGCGCGGAGGGGCTGTGTTGGCCGGGGCGACGGGCGGCGCCACAGGCGGGGAGATCACCTGATGCATCCAAAAGAAGAGAGACAGCGGTGTGTTTCGGTGGGTTCTGCTATGTGTGTGCGTCGGTGGCTGCGTACGGGCGTGTACCTGTAGTTGCAGGTCCATGTCGGGCATCGATATGCCGAACGACTCCAACGTCAAACGATCATGCTCAGACACTAGCGCACGATTAGCAGGGTCATCCTGACACGGACGCACACGCACAACGAGCCAATGCTCACCAAACCCCATACATACGGAACACGGAGCAGCATCTCTCTCAATGCTTTCAGAGCTTACACGCAGGATGGTCTCCATATTCCATGAAGTCTTGTCGGTGTCGGGTCTGACCACCTCCGCAAACAAAGACTCCAACGCCTCCAGTTGCTGGCGTGGGCAGGGCAGGGCACGGCAGCCTTCATGGTTGTTGACGGATGGGATGGCTGGGGTGGGTGCGCTACCTACCTTGATGAGCATGGCTGTGAGTTGGCTCGACGCGAACTTGACAGTCCGGCCTGACATGTAGTCAAGAAACCTGCACAAATATCACATCACACCACACCCACATGGCATGTGATGGCATATATGTGAGGCCTGGTCTTTCTCTCCATCTCATCTCACGTGGTGACGTGGCGGACGGCGTCGATATCAGTGAGGTCATCCCCCACGCCAATGAGTGTCATGAACCGGCCCCTCGGAAACATCCGGATCTCCTCACCCACTACCAACGCCTGCACACACACACACACACACCATGCACTCATTGCATTCCACCCACATCCATCCTTTCTGTCTGTCTGTCTGTCTGTAGGTCTCTCCTTCTGTCCCTTGTGTGATATCTATCACCCCCACACACAGCCCCACCTTCCCCCCCACCGCTCTCTCACCTTCCACAGATCGGGGTGCCGCCACTGCCGCTTCCTGACCGACGCGTGCACCACGTCGATGCCGCACTCGTCCACAACACGGTGCATCTCGGGGAAGTGCCTCAACACACTCTTATCCCACGCCCTCTCACTCAAGTTAGTCACCGCCACCACCTTGCCAGCCCGCCCCGCCCCACACAGGATCCGACACATGGCGCCATCCAGCCGACGGGCAGCCGTGGCGGCCGCGTCGGCATCTGCAATGCCCTCCGGGTGGCTGAGGACGCCGTCCCAGTTGAAGAAGATGAAGGTGCCGGACTGCTTGCAGGGGGTGAAGGTCTGTTCGGGCTCTCCTCCCAGGGCGCGTCCTTGGTCGTAGCGGAATGCCTTGACGTTCTTCCGCCTGCGCTGCTTCGCATGGAAGGACTGCTCCTGCTCGTGATGCTGGGTGTGGCGGGGAGGGGCGGAGTGGGCCTGGCCGGTGGGGCGGGGCTTGGGCGGCGCCTGCGGTCTGTCGGACGAGCTGCCATCATGATCATTGTGTTGGTGCTCCAGTGCATCAGACGGCTTGGAGGGGGAGAGATCTCGACCTTCAGGCCCATCCACGCCACTGTCCGATGGCAGGCATATCGCCTTCTTCGACGGTGAAAAGAAGAACGAAAACATCCCGGCCATCCCTTATCTTTGGCCGATTGCGGCCGGGTCACTGCGAGCTTTTACCAGATCTGAGTCCTTCTTTTCTGACATCTCCCGGCATCAGGGCATTAGGATGGGTCAGAGTCAGTCGGATATTGGCGAGATCGTGGGCTTCGAGACGCTGCAGAAGCTCACGGAGCCCGCACAAATGCCTATCGATGACCACGTGTGGCTGGAGCTCCTCAAAGGTGCGCTGCGCACACAGACAGACACACAGACAGATACACGACGCCTGAGAGCCATGGCGCACACCAGACGCAGGCAGACACACTGTTTGTTGTGTGTGTGTGTCTGTGTGTTTGTGCTTGTTTTGTGTCACTCAGTGCGTGTGCCGCCCCTGCAGCCCGTGGATCTGGACAACATGATCCGGCACGCCATGTTCCTCAAATTCAGTACGTAAACAGCAAGACAAACAAAAGAAACACGGAGCGAGCAGGGCAGGGCCTGCAGTCTGGGACCATGCGTGTGTGTGTGTGTGTCTGTGGTCCGTTCATTCAGTCACGACGAATGAGGTGTCGGGGAACTTCCGGAACTTCCTGCGCTTCCTGACACGACTGCTCACTGGTGGGAGGGGAGGGGGAGAGGACGCAGCCACAGAATCCCATCCACAGACAGATCTATGGGCAAACGGAACGGACCCTTTCCCTCTCTTGTCCCTCCCTGCTTCATTCAGCCTTCCGCAACAGCAACCCCGACGCCCTGCCCTGCTCCCCCACCTCCCTGGCCTCGCTGGCCCTCATCGCTCGTGTGCTCCTCAAGCAGTTTGTCGAGGCCTACACCGCACCAGAGCTGCTCTACCACCTCGAGCACGTCCCCCAACACACTCATATGCACACACACGCACAACCACCACCAGCAACATCGACATCAACATCATCAGCAGCCCATTCGACCACACACAAGTACGATCCGCAGGGCGGCGTCTTCACGTCAGACGAGGAGCGGGAGATGGGGGTGGGGGGGCGGCGGTGCGAGGTGGTGCCTGATGGGTGCATCAAGGTCACCTACAGGGGCAAACACGCGGTCGTCATCAGTGTGGAGAGGCCGGAGGGGCAGCGGCAGGAGGAGCAGACGACAGAACACATGGCGGAATACATCAAGTGAGAAAGATCTCTAGCCACACAGCACAGCATGGGTGTGGTGTGGTGTGTGGTGTGGTGTGTGTGTCAGAGGTCAGGTGGTCGAGTGGTTCGTCAATGACTTCCCAGAGGACGCCGACATCCTCACAAACAGGTAGGTCACGACAGACACCTGCACACTGGCAAGGCAACGCCCTTCTCTCTCCCACGACGTAATCTCTCACCACCTCGTCCTTTACATTACAGGGGTTTCGTGTTCCGCGAGCCGACTGCGGGCATCCTGACGGGCTACGACCTCGCCATCCGCATGGGCACCGCTACCGTCACACCCGCTGCCGCCAGCAGCAGTGACACCCAGGGGCCCACCACCAGCAGCAGCAGCAGCAGTGAGGAGGGGCCGGCCGAGCTGGGCAGGACCGTCGCAGTCATACCCAATGGCGTTCCGCGCAACAACTCCATCCTCGTCAACCTTTTCTTAGAGGTGGGTGGCTGGCTGGATGGGTCGGTGGCTGAGCTGACTTGACAACTCCTCTGTATGTTGGGGTGTGTGTGTGTCTGTGTCAGATCTGCGAGTTCTGCGTGACCACCCAAGTCGACTTCTACGGCCACGCTGAGGTCTTGCGCGTGCAGACGATCCTGCTGGAGGTCCTGCTGACGCTCTTCGCCGTCATCTGCCCTGACTTCGAGCATACGGCCAGGGAGGCCATGATGCAAGACGATTCCCAACGCGACAAGGCCAAGGCCTGCACCAGCGACGCATCGACGTCCGCCAGCACCTGCACCACCGTCAGTGACGGCAGCAGTGATGGAGGGGGCGGGGCGGGTGGTGGTGTCGTCAACACGGAGAAGGAGAGAGAGAGGGAGAAGGGTGGAGGAGCTGCTGAGGGTGCGGCGGCGAGGGAGGAGGATGTGGGCAGCCCGTTACCGCCGATATCGTCTAAGGCGGCCCACAGCGCCCCCCTCTACTACATCTACCTGCAGTCACAACAGCCACACCCTCAAGTCAGTCAGAGCGACCAGACCAGAGCGCCCAGCAAACCCCCTCCATCCAGTGCCATCCCGTGTGTGTGTGTTGGCTGTTGCTTGGTTTGAACAGATCATGTGCCCCATGACGACGGCGTACCCCCTTGAGCCCTACCTGCTGTTCCTTGATGCCTTCCTGGAGGCGCTGGGTGCCGGTGTGCAGCCGTCCAAGAGCCCCCTCCATCGCAGCAGCGTGGCCATGAACCACCATGCTGCTGAGGGCGGCATGAACGACGCCCCAGGGCCGCCACAGGTGGTCCGCAGGGAGGGGCCCAGGGTGCTGGGACCGTCACTCTCCGCTGGTGAGTCGAGAGAACACACCTCAACAAACACAACAGACAGAGACCTGAGATGGGATGATTGGGCGATGTCACTGCCTGCCGCAGAGTTCCTGACGTATTTGCTCAACACGCTGACGCTCAAGGGGCCCCCCAACGAGTCGTCGAGTAACCCCGCCCTCATCCCCAAGGCCCTCTTCTACCGCAGCCTCTCCATACTCATGCTCACCAACTTCTACAAGGCCTACCACCACACACACAGCCAACCCAATGCCACGGTGCAGCCCCCCACCAGCACCCAGCCCCCCCAGCTACGCGGCAACCCCTGTGTGGAGGCGTTTGCGGCCGTCTGCGACCCGCGCTATGTGCTGGAGGAGCCGCAGGGAGGGGAGGGTGGCGAGATGCCGCCAGTGAGGTGTCTGCCGCTGGACTTCCCCGGCCTCTTGGCGGTGGTGTGCAGCGATCGGCTGCAAGAGCACCTGTTTGCGGTGCTGCTCTACGCCCTGGTGTACCGGAATCGCACTTTTCGGCTGTTCCTTCTCTCCCAGACAGAGCCAGAGAGGTGAGTGAGGTCAGTGAGGTGTGCGACAGCGCTTCCCTTCCTGTGTGTGTGTGTGTGTGTGCCCGCACAGGACGCTTCTGCCGATTCTCGACATTCTCTACCGACTCCCCTCTCTGTGTGGCGGCAGCTACCCTGCATTGGGTGCTAAGGCAACCGGCCGTGCGGACGAGGTAGCTGAGGAGGAGGGCAAGCCGGTGCACCCGTCGTGCTACCCCGCGCCGCCCGCCGCCACGGTGCTACTGCTGGTGCTCCTCATACTCAGCAAGGACAAACACCTCTGCGAAGCCATGCACAAAACGGTCAGTCAGTCAGTCAGTCGGGTCGGCGGTAGAGGCTGGGTTGGCCACACCTTCATTGGTGTGTTGGTGTGCTTGTTTCTATCAATCAGAGTGTCGAGTGGCAGCGTTGGTTTGACCACAATGGGTTGAAGGCCCTCACCCTCGGCAGCCTCGTCGTCGTCACAGTCCTGCGACTGGCGCACTGGTGGGTGGGAACAAACTAAGCAATCTATCAAGCGGGCGACGTGCCTTTATGTGAATCCATCCTTTGTGTCAGGAACTTCGGGCACAGCCGCGACTCGTTTCTGCACGACATCATCGCAGCCATCGTCACCAACCTCGCACCCACACTCGAACACCTCAACTGGTATCTATCTCGGCAGGCACAAACAAACCGGCAGGCAGGCCACACAAGCCAAGCAATGGACACGCAATGCTCTTCTCACTGTGTGCTCCCTCCCTCCCCTCATTCAGGTATGCCTCTGACCGTCTGCTGGACTTCGTGTCTCTGCTGGCCCGCAGCTACACCAGGCAGGTGTCACAGGCGCTGAGGGAGGTGCGCAGCATGGCCAAGGAGCACCAGAACCAGCAGCAGCAGCAGGCGGCCGCGTCTGGTGGTGGTGGTGGTGGCGAGGAGGGCGGCGCAGCGCCAGTCAGCCCCCAGACGCCCAGCATCGGCAGCAACACATCCATCACCAACGCTGCCAAGCCAGTACAACGAAGCAAATCATCGCAGATATCGCAACCCGACCCCAAGGCACGTCCAAACGCACACGCCCAACACGCCACAACACCCACTCACTTTTCTGTCCTCTCCTTCCACCCCACCCCACCAGGCCGTGAGTGTGCTGCTACGGGGCGGTCTGAGTCTCCTGTGCGGCGCCCTGGTGCCCCCCCGCATCGCCCGCAACGTCCACCTGCTCTACGCAGTGGTGCGGGCATACCCGTCCTCGCTCCAGTCGCTCGAGAGGAAGCTGTCCGATCTCCAGGACGCGCTTGCCGATGTGTCCCGGCTGTTTGCCGACCCGCAGGAGGACGGCGGCCGGCTGGCCAAGGAGTATGGGCGGCTGAGCGAGGTGCTCGCCGGGGCTGACTTGGAGGCCTGGCGGGATAGGAGCGCACTGCTGTCGCAGCTAGAGTACCTGAGAGAGGTGAGTGAGAGGGAGAGAGATGTGTGTGGTGTAGGGGAGAGGGAGAGGGAGAGGGAGCGGTGTGTGACGATGTGGGTGTGGTGTGGTGTGTGCAGTTGGTGGAGTACTGCCACCGTCAGTGTCTGTGGGAGAGTCAGGAAGACAACGAAGACGAAGACCTCTCCGTAAGGCCTAGGCGACACCCACACATGTCTTGGAGCATCGCATACACACATCGATGGACGGATGGATGGATGGATGGCTGCCTGCAGGTGGAGAGCAACCTGCGTCAGTTGGAAGAGGTGGCCCTCAAGGTGCCGTCGAAGCGCCCCACCGCTCCATCCACACCCCTTCTCAACAACAAGACACCCACCATACACCACTCCCCTCAGTCGCACACTCCCCCCCAGACAAACACCACTGACGCCCCAGCGGCCCCCCCACCGAACCCCCCACAGATCGCCAGCCTGCCGCCGGCCCCAGCCACGGCGGCCACCTCGGCTGCTGTCGCCCTTGAGTCCGGGCTCATGTATCCCGGCGTCATTGGTGTGAGCGGCTTCAGTGGCCAGGAGGGCGACAAAGGGAGGGAGAGCAGCTCTGCTAGTGCTGCAGGGGTGGGGGGCGGTGGTGATGAGAAGGAGTCGGAGAGGCTCGTGCTGCCGCCTGACCCGTCGCTTGTCGAGGTGAGCAGCGAGAGGGAGAGGGAGGGAGAGTATTGGCGACCGTTCAGTGCATCCATCGATTGTGTTGTGTTGTGTTGTGTGGTGTTGTGTGTCATCCATCAGATATGTAGTCCTGGTGTCGAGTACGGCTACCGTGAGACCCACGAGACGCCCAGCTATTTTTTGCCGCTGATATGGAAGACCATCTTCTACCTGCAGCCGGACCACCTCTGCTGGGAGAAGGAAGCACTCGTGTGATCGATCTAGTCAGACAGCAGCCAGCCAGCCTGTGCATACCAGGGAGGGAGAGAATTAGAGAGGAGGGCGGGGGAGGGAGGGGAGGGGGCGATCGAGGGAGCGTGGTGCCCCTCTGCTCTGCTCGTACGTGGGGGTGGGGGGTGGGTGGGCGGCATCTGACTGACTGCCTGCCTGCCTGTCTCGCTGTTTAGACGTTTGCGAACTTGGTGTGTGTCTGGATAATAAGAATACCTGCCGTGCATTTTCGCCCACCGCATGGCACACACTTACTTTCTGCTGCGGCTTCTCTCCCTCTGCCTGTCTGTCTGTCTGTCTGTCGGTGGATTGCCTCCCGAGCTGTTGACAGGGTCTCTGTCTGTCCTTCCTGTCTTGACGGGTCCATACGCTAGGGTGGAGTGTGGGGCCAGCTAGCCATCTGCCCCACCGATGTCACCCCGCCCAGCCATGTGGGCGCTCAGAGACAGGGAGGGACAGACAGGACACCACCCCCCATCCATGCAGCCTACCGAGAGAGGGAGGGCAAGTCTGTGTGTGTGTGTGTGATTGAGTGATGTGGATGCTGCTGTGCGTGCGCCTGCTTTATTTCATGTGCTTAGGCAGGCGTCTGGCGGGGAGAGCGCACCACACCTCATTCCGCCAACACGGAAAGACGGTGTGGTGCGGCTTTTCTTCCAGACCTCTGCCAAATCACACGAAAAGGCCGCAGTTGCACAGCGATTGACGTCCAGACGGACGTTTGACGTTGTGTTTGTTGTGATAATAATTCAAGTACATCCCCTCCTTATACGAGCCTTTACTCGTACGTCAGTCACATGGGTTCCTCCCCCTTCCCTCCATCCGACCAAGTAGGTCTCTTAGTTCCCAGCAGTGTGTGTGAGCGTGAAGTCATAGAAAGGCAGTGCCTGGGTCAGGCAGCTGTACACGTCATCCCCCTCTACATCGACATACACACACTTCACATCAACACGCACACCACCAACACTGCCATCACTTTCGCTGCCAGACAGCCACCTCAGCTCGCTCTGCTCCCTGGCCCGCCATGTGATGACCTTCCGAGCCGCTTGATCGCTAGGCAGACTCACAATCGACGAGACAGCCTCATGCACAGCATCAGCAGGTGTGTCGACTGTGGGGAGGTGGACCCGCAGCTCTCCTCGTATGTGCAGGTCGCTAGGCAAACGACGCGCCAGCAACGGCAGCAGGGCAAAGGTTGAGCAGTGCACTTGGAGCACTGACAGCGAATGCGGCGGCAGACACGCCAGAGCAGACACCACACTCTCCCCCACCCGCCCTGGCCTCTTCACACAGCTGAGGCTGTCCACTTCGCGGAGCACTAGATGAGTCAGCGACGTTCCTCCCACTGCACCAAATAGCGTCCTCAGCCCGTCTGTTCCTCCGTGTTCGCCTTGCCCATCCTTGTAGATGACTTCCAGCCGGGCAAGTGAAGGGAAGAGCGTCTTGGCATCGTTGCTGATTAGGAAAGCCGGCAGCGGCGCCACAATGTCGCTGTAGTCGATAGTCATGGAAGTCGCCCCGCCGAATGACATCCCTTGCCACCGGCTCCTCGCTGCTGAAACGCCCTCCGTCTGCAGCCGATGCAGCCTCGCCATGTCTGCGCCCCTCATGCTGATGTGCACGGCCTGCGTCGCCATCCAGCGGATGAAGCCGATGACATCAGCATCTCGCTGCTCAAAGGGCAGCACCAGCAGCGCCGACACCATCTCCGGCACTGCCAGGTTCAGGACACACCTGGCATGTCTCGCCCCCATCCACAGCGCCGCCATAGCGCGGCAGAACGACAGCAGCTGAGTCTCGCTATACCGGCAGCTGCTGAAGTCCGTCTCGATGTCGATCTCCTTGATAGCCGAGCCGCTGCTTCGACATCTGTTCGCTAGTTTTGCGATCTCGCCATCATCGATGGGGGCCGCTCGAATGCGGCCGATCTTGCGCAGATGACGTAGCTGCCAGAGGCCATTGAGCAGCGGCACGGGCGCCGGTCGGTGCCGCATCCGCCCGTCCTTGCCCACCTCAGCCGTCTCAGCCACCGCCACCTCCAGCACCGGAGCGTGAAGAGCACCAAACAGCCGCCCGTCCAACGACGGAACGGCTATGTGAGTTGCAGCGGGCAGCCTCCACCGTCGCAGCAGAATGACCTGCCGCCACCCACGGCCGTCCAGATGCAGCGTGTGCAGCTTGGGGAAGACCACCTCTTCTCCCGCCACACAGGTGGTCGTCAAAGTGCCGAGAGCGGCCACCGAGTCCACAACGGTCACAGAGAGCCGCTCAATCGAGGTGGCGGTCTTCTCAAGCACCATGGCAAGCCACAGAGGGAATGAGGGAATGCGCAGATCTCCCCCAACACCATTGTCACCTCTAGTCAGTGGCAGCTTCAAACGAGCTTCGGTCACGCGTGAGAGAGGCAGTCGCTGGCAGCGGGGCCCGTCGATGCGCTGCCACAGACGGATCTCATCTTCGGCTATCCATAAGAGGGCAGGATTGAGGTCAGGTTGGCGGACAGACAGAAGTCGGGATGCATTTTCCAGCCGGATGGACTCGCACGTTGATAGGAACTTCAGCACAGACAGCAGAAGCTCACGGGCCAGCCTCAAAAGCATTTTCCTCTTTTCAAAAGGCGTGTTGCACTTTCTGGGTGTTGGAAATGGTGTGTCGGCCCGGGATAACCTCGGCTTAACCGGTTTCTCCCGCGAAGCTCGCCAGAGCGAAACCTAGGACCCCAAACCCTGAGCCGGCAAAACCCTTCACTTCTCACCGCGGCAGCCATGAAGCTTGAGGATGTGTCGCTTGACGACGGAGATCACCTCTACGATATGGACTTTCAGAACATGACCGATGGACACAATTTCTTCTCCGCCAAGCCGGCTGCCGGCCTTCAGGGCGGGCAGCTTAATGGCGTCGGCTCGAGCCTGTCGGCCTCCATGACGCAGACGCAGCCCAGCAGCATACAGCCGCCGAACGGTGCTGACCAACTGCAGTTCCAAAGTAAGCAGGCCAGGACAGATCACACACACACACACAGGGAGTCTCGTCTCTGTCTGCAACTGTCCGTCTGTGTGCGCTGCTGTGTGTGCGCTGTGCAGCCTTCCCCAGCACGCAGAATGGCTACCTGCCACAAGACGACGAACTCACCCGAGGTGGGCGGAGCGGCTGCTGCAGGACCACCCACCATCTGTCTGTCTGTCTGTCTTGAACGGTGTCTGCTGCTGTGCAGATGGCGCCAGCGAGCGCGGCGGCCTCTTATCCGAAATGGATGGGGGAAAAGGTGACTGACGCTTGGACACACCCACCATTGGACGAGCTACGCACATTTGATATCGGTGTGTGTCTGTGTGGCCCGTCCGTCGTATGCAGGAGGGTCGCTTCTTCCCGGCGGAGCGTCCTCGGGGGCCGCCTACCCGTGGCAAGTGCACTACTGGACGGTAGCTGACACACACGCACCGACACACACAAAGACAGACAGGCAGCCGCTCACAGGCTCTCTGACCGACCGACGCATAGCTGCTCTTATGTATCTATGGTGTGTGTCATATATGTGTCTGTCGTGGCTACTTTTCCTTCTTGCAGGCTTACTTTGACGTGTCGACCAAAGACGTGTTGGAGCGCGGCAAGCTGGTGCTGACCTGGCCGACGCACCAGCGGACGTTCTTCTCGACACTGATATCCTACCCCGAGCTGTGGGGACCCACATGGATATCAGCCACGCTCTCACTCGCCATCGGTGCGTGAGGCAAGGCGGAAAAGGCGGAGACAGCGTGCCTGTAAGTAGCGTGTGTGTGTGTGTTTTTCTTGTGAGTGCAGCTGTGTCGAGCAACTGGGCGGCGTTCCTGATGTTTGTGCCTGACCGGACTGACATCCACTCCAACATCGTCTACTGGACAAAAGACTTCAACGTGCTCTGGGTGAGCGACTGAGATGAGTCAAGGAGAATATACTCTGCAGCTGCCTAACCGTGTCTGTCTGTGTGTGTCTGGCTGTCTGTGTGCGTGTGTACGATACGTATCACCCAGGGCAGTGGCGTGTTGATATTTCTGTGCCTGTTGGGTCATCCCCTCTTCGTGTGGACACTCATGCTGCTCAAGGGTGACTGAATGAGATGGCTTGGCTTGGCACGGCCGCGGGCACATGTGTAGATAGCTGCTGCACCTGTCTGCCAGGTCGGCGCATTGGGTACATCAGGTTGGTGTCGCTGATGGGCTATGCCCTCCTGCCGATGCTCCCAGCAACGGTGGGTGCGTCAGTCAGAGGCAGGCAGACAGGCGCGGTCGAGGGCTGGCTGTCTCACTCACTGTGTCTGTCCTTCATTCACTATCTTGGTGTGCAGCTGTTTTGTTGGGCGCCTGTGCTGCTGTCTTCTTTTCGCCTGACGTCCACCTACCCGGTGGCAGCATTGCAATGGGTACACACACACACACAGAGAGAGAGACATCCGACGGCACATAAGGAGGTGGTGTATGTGTGCAGGTGCTCCTGTTGGCGGGCTGTGTGTATTCTGGCGGCTTCCTCGTCAAGAACCTCAAAGCAGACCTCGACAAGGAGGGCGACAACACACTCCAGTGAGCAATTGCTGCCTCCAGATAGATCGCCTCACCATGTTTCTGTCTTGTCTTGTGTGTCGCTGGATTTTGGCGTGTGTCAGGTTCAAGGTGCTTGGGGGTACTGCGGTCATGTATGTGCTGATGCTCCTCCTGCTCAAGTTTTATTTCTTCGCCTTGTAGGGGCGAAGGTCTGCCTGTGTTGATGTGTGGCTCGGCTGGGGCAGGTGTGTGTCAATGTCAATAGGTGACGTCACTGACGGAGTGATCAGCCAGTTGGATGCGACAACTGGACATGACCGTGGCTGATCCGTGTGTGTGTCATGTGAATTAAAAAAGGGACGGTGGGAAGGACACCAGTGCTCTGTATGGTGGTGGGTAAAGGCATGCATTGCGAGAGGGAACCCGGCTATTTTGACCCTCAGCAGCGTTAGTTAGGATGTGTTTGTAGCAGTGCATCACACTACCACTGTCCGCATGCAAATGCCGGCAAGAGCCCACCACACACACACACAGGCGGGCCGCAGACCACCAGCGACAACACAGGAGTCCGACGCAGCCCTCACACTTTTCCACCCCCATGGATACATGTGGGCAGAGGAGTGCGCAGGCAGCGAGAGAGTCGTGTGTATCACGCTATGACGGCCCGCCCCCCATGGTCGAAAGAAGGCAGTCTGGTGAGGCCAACAAAAACGGAGACACAGTTGTGGAAAAGAAGAGAGTGCGGCCAGGGAAGGACAAGAGTCCGTGTCAGAGATAGATCGGTCAACGGCATTCGGTTGCCGTACTCTCAGCATCAGTCAGTGAGTCAGTGAGAAAGGCGAGACATCATTGTGTCACAGATCGGCCCACCTATGCACACACCACACCTGTCTGTCTCTATGCATCCCCACCTCTCACATCCCGCCCAGACATGTGTGTCGCCATCGCTCACTCATCGTCAGCACTTCCCGCTGACTCCCTTCTGCCTACGCAGACGGATCGTCATAGTGAGCGTCTCCCTGCTGACGGGAGACGCTCACTACAGCCACCCGACAAGCCCAGGATGAAAGGGAACCAACAGAGAAGACACAACGACTTTTTGTGTCAGTGCACTACGCAGCCCCTCACGCTGGCCCAACACGCGCCTCTCGCCTCTGTGTCGACCGTCTCTGAAGCCAAACCACTTGGTTGCCCCATTCCGTGTTTTAGACGAAACAGTGCCGCCAAGATGCACGGCTTCGCAGACACCCGTACACACTTGAGAGGAAGGCAGAAGGGCAACACTCCATTGAACAGACACCTCTCCATCCATGAGCCTTAGCCTAGATCCCGCCACCCCAAAATTCCCGACCCACAACACGCAACACAACGCCGCCATCTTGTTGCCACCCCTTCCCCCTCTCCGTTTGGCAGGTGAGAACGCTCCAGACCACAAAGTGAAGACGAGGTCAGACAGGCAGCCAGACAGCCAGTGTGAGTAGCAAGTAGGAGGGCAGCCAGACGTGTGTCGTCTCATTTGGTGTGGTGCGGTGCATGCCATGCTAGAAGGCTCAAACGAAACGGCCACCACACACGCAAGAGAAATACTGACCCCCTGAACCGAACCCCTCAACCTACCCACTGCACCCACTTCGTAAAACAAAAAACTTGGAATGAATCGAACCAGAAGGTTGCTAGTGACCCCCCCTGTGGGCCATCCCCCCATCCCTCTCACTGTACACAGCCACATACACACATGACGTCCATCCCCTACCCCACTCTCAGTCACTCACAGCGCTACGAATTGCCCGCCGAATGTGTGTCTGTCTGTGTTCCCCTGCTAGTGGTGTGGTGACGTGTGCGGTGCTCACTGCCGGCCCTCGATGATGTCCTTGACCCTCCACCAGGCGCCTCCCAGCTTGACGTTGTTGTAGCCAGCCTGCTGCAGGGCCTTGGTCGCCATCGACGAACGCACGCCCTCCCTGCACACAGCAACCACACAAACAACGGGCATTGGGCGTCCCCAGCGTCTTGGATGTCAGGTGCTGAGGCGGGGCCCACCAGCAGAAGACGACAATCTCGGTGTCCTTGTCAATAAGGGGCCCCCCCGAGGCGGCCGCCACGGGCTGGTGGGCGTTCAGGGTGCTCACCAATACCGGCATGGGCATGTTCAGGGCACCCGGAGCGCTGCACGCAACACACACAGAGTGGACAGTCAGAGCTCTTGTGGCCGTGTCTCCGCTTCCTGTGGGCGCCTCACCTGCCGCGCTGGTACTCGCTGGGAGTCCTGACATCCAGGAGCACGGCGCCCTTCTCGTAGTCCTTGAGGATGTCGTCAGCAGTGGCCACGGGCGGCGTCCAGAGGTAGAGTGCCATGGCGGTAGCGACGGCCATGAGCGGCAGGTAGTCCATGTAGGAGGCCTTGCCCGTCGTCAGCTGGTAGGCGTCCCACTCGGGCGTGTAGGGCTCGAAGGTCGGGATGGCGCTCTCGAGGCCTGGCTTGGGGAACATGATGGTCTCGGTGCTGGACCAGGGGTGGTACATGGTCATGCCCTGCCGGCTGCTGGGGGGGGCGTGGCGCTTGTGGAGGCGCTGGAGCGGCTTGCTGACGGGACTCACAAACGCTGCATCGTCAAGGACAGCCGCACGGCACGCCAGCGGAGAGATCAGCAAGATGGCAGCGAGCACGGAAGTCATCATGATGTACGAGAATGAGGCGGAGTGGCGGAGGAGGCTGACAAACTATTCCCAAGTGGCGATTCCGGTTCTGTCTGCTGACCAGTGATTGTGGGTGTTTCCGCGGATATGAAACCCTAGACCCTAAGCCCTACGGATCTGCGATGTCGTTGATTTTCTGGATCCTTCCAGTGCTGCTACTGCTCTCTCGATGCGCTGCCTTGCAGCACGCGAAGGTTCTGCACTCGAAATCGCTGTTTGCAAAGGTACTAGTACTCAGCGTGATGCCATATGATGCCGCTCTTTTGTGGTGTGTTCGCAGGCCCAGGGGAAGATCAATGACACTACAGGCACCGATGGCCGATGGAAGCAGGCCCCCGGTGACTTCCACAGTGCGGTCCAAGGAATGGTATGTACGATTGCAACAGACACGGAAGACACGGACAGTGTGGGACATCCCTGCCTTGTCGGGCGTGTGTGTGCTTGATAGACAGGTGCGTTTGAGGGAGACCGCCCTTCACAGGTCTGGCAGGGCGATGGCTGGCTCGTCGATGGCGAGAGAGTCGGCAACACATGCACGGTAATCAAGAAGGACGGGCAGGCGTAGATCTACTTAACCAATTCCTGGCGTAGATGTGGTGACTGTGTTCGGTTCATATTGTTTCCCCAGCTGCCTCGCTGCATGGTGGAGTGCATTCAGTCCGTGTCGTGCCTCGAGAGCATGTGCAGCAGTCCCACATACAAGTGCAAGGACTCCGACTACAACACACCCTACGACCGGTGCTGCAAGGTACCCAATGCATCCATCCATCCATCCATCCATCCATCCATCCACACACACACACACACACACACACACACATGCTGCCCATCTGCCCAGCGTTCGAGCGCACCAGCTGTCCCTGCATCCACGGCCCCTCCGACGCCCACAAGACCACCTCCAAGTCCGTCTGCAGGCCCGATTGTGACGGCACCGCCTGTGGTCGATAAGGCCCCTCCTGCGGTCACCACGGCTGCCCCCTTGGTCATTGGGATTGGAGGGACAAGAACGGTATCAGGCCAGAGCAGCCAGAGCATGATGACAGATGACGTCATGTGTTGCTCTGTTATTCGGTCTCGTCAGGGCGGAGGGAGGCCCATCCATCGGGCATTGTCAAAGCGTATGGGGCACTTAGAGCCATTGCAGGTGGAGGGGAGGAGGGGCAGGATGGTAAACAATGGATAGATAGTTCAGCATTGCCTGACTGTCTGCATCCATACATGCATGGCAGACAGGCAGGCACATGGCCAATCCTTCGAGGAGACAGGGAGAGAGAGAGAGATCGCACGAATGATAAGTCACTGGTTTTAGGCTTTGCACGGCGCATATACAGTGATACATACGATGACGAATTGAGGTCAACACCCATGTGTGGATCCAATTCTCCAGCCCCCCAGCGGTCTCGACTGCCCCCAATTCGAAAACCCCCTTCCATTTGGTTCTCTCCAAAAGCCCCGCCGCAGGATGCATCTGCCCATCGCTGTGACCAGAAGAGAAGAAGGGGATCCGACAAAGGCGCAGGCAAGCCAATCAAACCAAATGATGGGAAGTGATCACGCAGGAACTGATGCACTGTCTGTTGTTGGTCTCGCCAAGGGCACCACACCACGCCGTCGCTCACTGCGAACTCCGGAAGCCACACCTGATGCACTCCGAGCGTGGCAAAGACAAGCTGAAGCTGAACCAGATGACTACAAATACCACGGAAGGCCTCACATCAGCCCGTGGTCCCTCTGGTGCTTCCGGCGATCGCGAGCGGATAAGAAGCGGGCAATGGATGCGGATGACTGCGTGTTTGCACTGGCTGTTGCGCTCTGGATTGCGCTGCTCACTATCACGGCATTTCTTGTCGCAAGGGGGCTCTTCGCGCCTGTGGAGCAGGGTAGGAAGAAACATGCGCTGGATTCTGTCGGTTTGTTCCTCAAACTGGGCTGTGCTTGCACTCAGGTGGTCTGGGGGCCTTTCATCCTCGCCTTCTCATGAGAGCCAAGCAAAGGAAAGTCATCGCTGGGCGGGACGATGCACTCACAAATGAGATGAAGACCATATGCAGCATCAGGCCAAGGAAAGTAAGTGTCTTCCTTTGGGGGATGACGCCTTCGCTGGTGTTTCTGTGTGCAGCTTTTATTTGTCGAACATGGCGCTGGCAGGAAGTTTGGAAGGGCAGTGGCGCCCCGGCTGTCTAAGAACAGAGGTGAGGACTTGTGAAAACCCAGAACCTCTATCGAGGACCATTGACGTGCGTGAGACATCAGACAATGCGCTGAAGCCTCTCATGGGTACCATTCTGGAAGAAATCCTGGCCTCTGGCAAAGGGCAAACGATCACGGGGTCTTCCATCGCCACGGGCGCTTATACGGTGCGCCTGCTGGACCAATGCAGCAGATCACGTGACTAACTTGCATACGTTGATGCCCTTGATGTCTCAGGTGAGCCTGGTGCCTTATCTTTTCCCCGTCCTCGCAGCAATTGCTCTCGCATTGGTGTGCTGGCCCATCTCCGGTTTCGCTCTCTGCTGCAGGGGCTTCAGGAGGTAAACGGCGCCTGAGGATGATTTGAATTCGAAAGAAGGCTTGTTTTGCCGTCTCGTGCCTTCAGAAACTTGTTCAACTGCTGTCAGGGCCGTGCACGGCCACGCAAGGGCATATGTGCCCGATATGGAGCCCTCGCGATTTCGATCGCAGTAACGGTCGGCTTCATCGCCTTCATTGTCGGTGCCATCTCTTGGGGCATCTCAATTGGCAACGGGTGAGAGAGAAGGCAAAAACGCGATGCATGATGGAAAGGACCCAGCATCCACCGATTGTCTTTTCCTTAGTCTGACGACTTCCCTGTGCTCTATTTATCGCTTTGCCGACGAGAGCCTGAACGGCAGCCCTCCCAACACGTCTCAGCCCTTCATTGGCATATTCCCAGCAGTGCAGACGTATGCAGGTGGTACAGAGCTAGTCAAGTATCTGCATTACGTGTTCATCTCGATGTGTGCTGTGGTTGCGTGTTCATGTCAGTGTCGACTTCGTCTTCAAGGATCTGAAGTCCACAACCAAGGGAGGGCTGATAGATCGCATTGCCACGCTTATCTTCGGCACGCTGGTCTTCGACACAGGTGATAAGACATGGATGCCTGCATACAACATGGAACTCTGCTGTGTCTCCGTCTTCCACGCTATTTGTTCCAGAGAAGGAGAATCTGATCGATTCTATGAAGTTTATGTCCGATGTATTGGATAACAAGCGCAACGACCTCTCTGCCGTCAGCGATTCCGACCGCAAGAGTTATCACGTCTGCATCTTCTGCCAGGTTTGCGCAGTATTCCTCGACCCCATCAGGAAGGCACTGGACAGGGGCCTCACTAAGGCGCTGAGCGACGTACTTGACACGGTGCGGAGGTACCTGACAACTGGATCGCAAGAGCTGGACGTGAGTCATGATCCCCTGGCAAAGCCTAAATGGATGCTGACACGGTTCTGCTCTTCCCATGCAGGAGATCTTGGCGGAGCTCGGCAGTTTTGACATGGCTGAGGTCTCCCACCGCACAAGCGCGCTGCTTGACGGATACCTCAATGCATATGTCCCGATGGTAAAACACGAGCAATTTGCGGTCCTTCATGGAAGCCCGTCCGTGTGTCTCCCACAGATCCTTCAATGGGAAGGGGTCCTTTTCTGGGTGTTCAACTCAATCGCATTGGTTGGAGCCGTCCTTGCACTGGCCGGTGCGTCGAGGCAAAGAGACACCTTGCAGCCATCCATCGTTGTCTACAGGCCTCGCATACATTATCATTCTGACCTTTCGCAAGCACAAACCCTTGCCCACGTGGCCGGCTGCAATTCTCTGGTGCTTGTTCCTCGTCTACGCAATACTGGGTACATAGTGTGTGTGTGTGTGTGAATGTATGCATTGACTTCCATGAATTGTCTGTCGGTTTGTCTGTCGGTCTGTCTGTCTGTCGGTCTGTCTGTCTGTCTGTCTGTGTCCCTGTAGCTCTCCTGTTTGGTGGCATCATGCTCTTCCTGATGATATTCCTGTCCGACACGTGTGGATGGATCAGGGAGGAACTGATGACCAAAGAGGGCTGGGACCGATATGAGGAGACTCTTGAGTCCATCGATCCTCGAGCACTCAACGTTGCCAAACAGGTGAGCCAGTATGTGTGAGAAGCGGCGCGATAGGCATCTTCGATGACGCTTGTTGCCTCATTCTAGTGTCTCACGCCGTCTGGCGAGGGTGACTTGCTGAAAGCTCTCGGGCTAAGTGGTGGGATGTCATATGTAATTAAAACACTGCCTACCTCACCAATGTTGGTCGTGCAGAGCAGCTAAATTTCACTCAACTTGTGGACGAGCAGCTCAATGCCTTAGCCGAGGCGTAAGGAAGGCGTGATGGCACAAAGGATAGGCGAAGGCTTGTGATAGCGTATCCCTGTCCGCTTCTCAGGCCAGTGCCTGCTGTCAGTGAATCCGACCTACAGCTGGTATATGCTATGCCAACACATTCATGCCTCGCAATCTTCTTGCGCCCATTGCAGCTTACCAACGCAGCCCGCGACCTCAGCCACATGTTCCTTCCTGACAGCGTCTCAGCAAACGCAGTAGGCAGCCACCAGCGGACCAGACGCAGTGTTGTTATCATGGTTTTTTCTCAGGAGAATCCCTCTGTGGGTCTTGCGGCAGCAGCCCCCCTTTTCATGGCTTCCGGCGTGCAAAACGAGACGCTGAAAGCGGATTTCACACTGCTCAAAATGGCACTGGAGGGCAGTCAAAGTGAGCGAAGACAAAATATGTCGGACCAGATATCATGGTGTCGTCTCTTTGTTTCCGTGATGGAAGTCGCCAGCGAGGCGGCCAAGTTTCTGCTGGGAGAGGGCGACACTGTGAGCATCCCTGGTCTGCGGGACTTGGAACCGGAGATATCTCCCTTTTACTTCGACTCATTGCACCGTGAGCAGCAGGGAGGCACATACACAACAACAATACACGTGTCTGTCTCCTCTTCGACGCAGCTTCGCCAAAGCCGAGTGACCCAGCGGATGAGTACCGCGTCACTGCTCGATTTGATCACGATGTATGCCTCGGAGACACAACACAGTCGCAACATGAACCTCATCTCTCTCACTCTGATGCAGAGCTCCATAGTGGCGACAGTGGCGTCACAGGCAAGATCGTCGCCAATCGACGCGGTCGTTGATATAAACGTAAGGCACCCGTTGCTCCGTCCAGACGCCATCGCCTGCCTTCCTCTCTGCCTGGCTGCGCCATCCATCCACCGACACTGTCTTGGCATCTCAGGATGAAACGAAGTTGAGTGCCACCCTTTGGTGGGCCGTCCGCAAGCAGGTTGGTAAACTTGCAGCTATGTGTGTGAATGATGTCTCTTGCACATCATGTCAGCCGTCCCTTCTGTTCTCGTTCCATCTCTCAGCGTGTGGTCGACCCTACCATCACTCTCTTCTGGTGCCCGGAGCCACCTTCCGGCTTCGACAGAAGACGGCGGGATTTGCAAGTGGACGTCAGCCCTGCCGTCATCCCCCCTCCACCAGACGTACCTTATGTGCTGTCGCCCATCTCCCCGCCTGACATTCAGCCGCCCGATCTGCCGGATGAAGCTGACGGGATCATCGGAGGAGGCGGTGGTCCTGGGGGAGGTGATGTTCGAACGACGGTCGAGTCTTGTGACTGGGAAGAATTCGTGGTCTTCATGATGAACCTTACCTCGCACGTGCTAGACAATGTATGCGGGAAGGTGCTGACAGCGATAAATGACGAGATGCGTTCCTTGTGTGTTAAGGCTCTCGATTTCCTGGCGGCTGCGGCTAGTGCCAAGGATGACATTGTTGGAGGGCTGAGGGAGATCGTACAGGGTGAGCAAGAAAAAGAGGCAAGGGAATTCGTGCCAGTCGCTGCGTCCCTGCAGAGTTGCTCGATCGCGTTCTCGCCCTGGTTGAAGGAGTGAACTGCAGTGACCACGCACACAAGCGGCAGACACAGCATTCACCAGTCTCTGGATGTGTGTCGCGCAGAGGTCTTGTATCGTGGCGTCACTGCCGTCGTGGAGCCCCTCTGCGAGGAGCTCGTTCCAAACACGGTGAACAGAACAGGACAAGATCATACAGCCACGACAAGACCATCCAGCTGCCCTGTCCTCACATGTCTCGGCGAGTCTGTTTCTGGTGCTCAGCTGCTAGTCGCCCTCAGTTGGGTGATTCTGGGCCTACATTCGATGGTTGCATTTGCAGTGCTCTTCCCGGTCAGTCAAACAGTCACGTCAGTCAGTCAGTCAGTCAGTCACCCTTCCTTTCTTGGTGTTGGTCAGCTGTGGAGGTACTATATTGACCTGCACCAGTGGCAGCAATGGCGAGAAGAGAGTAAGTATCGATCGACTCCTCGTTTGTTTGGTATGTCCACTGCCTGCCTCTCTGCACCTGTCTCTCTGTCCACCACAGGACACAGACCCGATGCATCCCTTTCACCATTTATGCCGGCAATAGCGGGTCAAGAGCAGAACGGCAGGCAGCAAGAGGACGAGGGGCTGCCTGCAGCCCAGGCGGACAACGACAATCCAGAAGATCGCCGCACTTTCCTTAGCACCCTCTCACGCCACCTGCGTTCTGCCATCAAAAGGAGACACGAGGGAGAAAACGAGGCCGAGCCAAGGGAGAGCGGCTTCTTACGCTTAGCACCTCGCTCGCGATCAAGTCCACCGACAAGACAAGAGACGGCTAATCAACAACCACTTCCTTCTCCGCCTCCCCTCCCCGGGCCAATCGGTGTGTCTCGTGCGGCTCCTCTGGTGCACTCGGTCTCGTCGAGTGCCCTGGATGTGATGCAGATGCAGCCAAGAGAGGACATTCCACTGGCGTCTCCAATCTCACTTGCTCGGAGACAATCACTAATTTGGCCCAATCGGCATCATGGGGAAGGTTGAGGGCTGATGACGTCGCTGAAGGGGGGCCGATGAGGAGAAATGCACAGGACGCATCGATATCTGGCCGAGGCATGGCGAGGGGGCGACAGGTATGATGGGGGGAGACATCATGTGCTGTTTAAGATGTTCCTTGCGGATAGATCTAAGGCCTCTGTATTTGTTAAGGCCTGCTGTGTACGTATTGTATTCCAGCAGGCTGTATGCGTTTGTGATATGGAACATGATGTATACGTAATGCATGTAATGTATATGACCTCAGTGATGGATGGTTTGGGTGCTTTTGTTGTTGGGGCGGCCGTCCGTGGGTGTGGTGTGTGAGCTGGTATTATCCCATCAGTCAGTCATGCATTCACTCACTCACTGACCAACATGCACTGTCCGCACGCACACGCCCACGCACGCACACACGCACAGGTCGTCCGCCGTGCCACACACAGAGGGAAGACGGGACGCCACATGCAGTCAGGCAGACATATAGACAACTAAGGCCTTTCCTTCCGTCCATGCGGATGCACGGGACACACAATCTGATATCCACACGCCAGCCAGCTGTCTAGCTCTCAGCGACCCACTCCGCCGCCCCAACGCTCCTCCATGCCTGGCGACAGACAGACAGACAGACAGACAGACAGACGGGCACACACAACAGCACAGTCCGTCGAGGAAGGCCTGCCACCCTGGCTGCGCGTCTGCCTAACTGCTTACTTGGTTGTCTATTTGTGTGTGTTGTCCTTCTCGCCTCCTCCCTCCTCCGCTACCGCCATTGCCGCATCCTCTGCCAATCCATCCACACAACCACACAGACACACAGACAGAGGGAGGGAGGGTGGGAGGAGTGTGCCGAATGTGTGAAGTGCAGACAGATATACACACACGGGTGGGTGGGATGAATGGTGGGTGGGCACACCGCTCACGAACGAATGAACCAGTGTTTGCGATGGCCGAGGCATCGTCATCGTCTTCGGTGTCCGTGTCATGACTCGCGCTGCTGTGGTCATGTGTGGACACATTCCCCCCACCGCCCTCCGCCGCCCCGCCACCGGGCGAGCTGCTCGTGTCATCGTCATCATCTAGCCCTATTATGAGACCTAGCCAACGGGAGAGCACTGCACACACACACACACACAGACGGACAGACAGACTCATGGGTCCATGTGTGCAACACATTTCGCGCCCTTCTGTCTGTCTGTCTGTCTCTCTGTCTGTCTGTGCCCTCGCTCGTGGGGATCCGTGCGTACGGACATGCGTATGACTGAGGTTGCGTCTGCGCGAGGAGAAGCTCGTCGTCCGCGACACACGCCGGTGGCTCTGTTGTGACAAACACCACCTCAACTGCACACTCTCACACACACAAACAGACAGACAGACAGGCCAAGAGCCAGACAGAGCCAGAAATAAGAGCATAGACACACCCGCCCATCAACCCGCCCACCCACTGACGGACCTTCTTGATCGTCGAGAGGTCTCTCCCTGACGCCGAAGACCGCGGCGAAGGGGTGGTCCAGCGGCGTCAGCACCGCATACCGATGGTACACATTGGCGGGGTACTCCAGCGCCATGACGGCCGAGGCGCCTCTGACAAACGGACGGTGCACTGACCGGTCGAGCCGGGCCATCACGCCAGCATCTATCATATCGCTGCAGTCAGCCACCCAGACAATCAGGACAAAGCACCCATGACCAAGGCAGGCATCATTTGCAGCTCCATCCTTTACCCACACCCGCCCACTGACGGTTCTGATTCGCGTGACCCAGAGGCGCCCTTGATTCGGGTCGTGATGGTGTGCATGAGGTAGGACGAGAATGACGCCTCGATCACGTCTTCGTCCAGAACGTGGTCTTGAGCCTGGAGGAAGACGTTGATGCGGTGGGCCACGATGGGGTTGTGCGGGTCGGTGTGCTGCTGGAACCGGTGGTCGGCGGGGAGGGGCGGGGCCAGGCGGATCTGGAAGGCCTCCTCGTCCTTGATGGCACGCAGGCCGCAGCTGGCGTCGTCGAAGAGCTCGAACCGGCCCAGCTCGCCAAAGTCGACACGCCTGCCCACCATCTTCCACAGCGCCACCACACGGGGCTCAGCCAGAAACGCCTGTGGACGCAATAACCAATCAAAGAAATACCTCCCTCCCTCCCTGCCTCCGTCTATGGTGCATTGCAGCACCAGATGACTTACCTGCTTGGTGCGATGCCTCTGGAGGTCCTCGCGCGTGATGATGGCCGGCAGCTGGCAGAAATCGC